AGCCATGACGCCTGCTGCATTCCGGGCAAAGCCCGGGCCGCCAAAGGGGTTGATACCCAACAGGACGTGCGTGGCGCCAGCGGGGGCTTGATGATGGAATTGCGACGTGACAAGCTGGATGTGGGGGTCTGGAGGTGCAGCCGCGTTGTCGAAGCCGGTGATGAGCCAGCAAACAGCCGAAGAGGAGCAGGGACGGCTCTAAGAAATCACGGAAATGACGCCCCTGGAATGAAATATGTTGCAGTGGAGTGGAGATATTGGCAACCGTTTACAATCATGCACAACATATGTGAAACGGATGATGGATGTGTGTCCCAGCTGGCAAGTCATGCAAGTAGACGCAAAGCAGCGTGTGCAGGGCGCGCTGCTTGGCTGCGCCGCGATGCTGCAGGCCGCCATGCTGCAGGCCAAGCTTCTCCGATCGCAACATGCGCACAGCAAGCAGTTTTTATTTGCATGCAAGATTACACATATGTGGGTAAATACAACTGCCAGGCTGCCTGCGCTCGTACTGCTCGTCCGCGAATGCAGACATGTGCTTCGGAGGTTGCACTGCACGAGCCACTTTCGACGCCCCCCATCTGCCTCAATCAAATCTTACCTAGTTCAAGAGTGTCTTGATGTCGAGTACAGGCCCTGCCGTCGAGGACATCCACCACTCGGGTAAGTGCAGCACGGCTGGACTGGTTGCAAGGGTACAGAAGCCAAGTGAATTGTATGTTTTGAAAAATTAATTCAAGCACTATTATCAACCGACTGATACCGTAGCTGATCCAATCGCGAGTGCCGAATTCCGTGCTTGCAGGGCAGCTGCTTGTGTCCGTCTGGATCCTGTGCTACGGTACCTGAAGAAAAACAAAGTCTGGCAAAGGTGAAATAAAATTAGCAACGCGCGGGTGATTCGGTGCATCAACCGCCCCCGGCCCCGGCCCCGCCACGAGTGCCCGCAGCCGCACCCCCACGCACCGAGCGTGTGGCAGAACACAGGCAGCAGCCTAGAACCAACGTTCCCGCCTTCTTGAGGGAAGGGTGGAACGGATGCGGGCAGGGATACCTGACATGCTTTGTGCACACTGCTGCATGCACCATCTGCCGTGTGGGTGTCAGCGGTGGTGGGTTCCTCCAGGCACCACAGGGTAACGGCGTGCGCTTCACTGCATGCATACAAATTTGGAGTTGAATACTCAGCACAGTTTACTTTGCTAATGCTGAATGCTCAGATCTCAGTTCACGCCTTTCAATGCGCAGACGTATGGAACCTTCGTGGGCGTGTGCACACATAAGCCGATCAGGTGGTGCATGCGCTTGTGATGAGTGGGAACGGCCGGACACTGATATCACACGGCCGCGCTCCTGCATGCCTGCAGGCAAGATGGATTCAGGACCAAACACCACAGCAACAGGCCCAAGCAGATCAGCAGAAGGCCTGATCGGGCTTGATGGCCGTTTGATTGTCGGCTTAGTCTTGACGGTCCGCAGCTAAACCCCACCATCAAAACATACTAAATATTGATGATATCATCCAGCCTGCCGGGTGCAGACAAGCCTGTTGTTGATTGTGAAGTTTGCCTTTACTTTGCTTGCTGCAAGGGCAGCGTGTTGTTGCAACGATGTTTCCTGATGTCATCTGGCAACCCTGCCAGCATGATTTGGAGGTGTTGCTGGCAAACATGCGGCACCACACTTCATGCATCCCCATCACAACTACAGGCATCTGGCAACGTCACTGTGTGCAGCCCGTGGCACCCAGTCGAGCAGCGGATACCGTGAATATGAGCCCCAGGCTCGAACCCGATACAGTGGAAGCGATCATGCACGGCGCACAAATCCCAGCATTCGCTGGCATCCTCTGTCTGCAGAGGTCGAGACACGAGCGAGCGCGCCCAGCATGACGCAGCAGCGCGAACAGCTGGCGCTGCATGGCTCCTGCGCTCTCAGCAAGTACAGAGCCGGGAATCGCGACCCATGCAACCACATGGGTCCATGCTGTCCTTGTGTGGGGTTCAAAAAAACGTTTTCCCACGCAGTTTGTATGCGCAATAACGGGCTCTGTCAAGTCACCCCCCACACCCCCCCCCCCACTCTCCAAAAAAGAAATGCACATCGCTGCTGTTAGTGGTACATGGAACACAACAAACACAGGTGTCTTCTCTTCCAACCTTGCATCATGATGCTGCAAAATTGCAACTTTCCGCAGAATTCAACATCCGCCCACAGGGCAGCGCGCTTGTCGCTGATGAATGTTGCCTGTGCAACCACCCACCGGTCGTCTGTATGGACTACCGATCTACCGTATAAAAGCACGATCGCCGGGCTCCTATGCAGGCACAGAGCGCGCTGCCCTCTGTATAGCTACAATAAAGCCAATGATTCTATCACGCTGCCACCTGCCATTCCTACTGATTCACTTACGCAGCCCTCACGATGCGCTGCGCTGCGTCATCCTTCAACGTCGCCCGCCTGGCTGCCGCCCGCCGAATGCACCACTGCAAGGAGGGCTTGCAAATTCATTGACCCTTAATGCACGAGCACAGATTTTCACACCCGCGATCCGCGGTTGCTTTGTGGGTCTATAACGCCAGTGCTCGTAGGAGCGCGCGAGTGGACAGCCACTGCTCCGGACCCAATCGCAGCACTAGGATTACTTTGTGGCCCTTTGTAGGCGCGACATCTGGGGTGCTGCAGGCGGCCCGGCAGCGATGCTGCTCAGAGGTGCGTGCAGTGCGTTCCGTGGGGTCTACCGGCCCTGAGGTGATGCGTAACGGGCAGTTTATCAAGGTTTATTACCAATGTGCCACACAGCTCCGTCCACAAGAACGCATTCGCATGATCTCGCAGGCAGCGACAGATGTCTGGCGCGGAAGGGGGCCTTTGTTGAAGGACAGGTGCGAAAGCAGTTGTTACTGGTTGGATTTTCTTCGAGGACGGAAGGCTTTGGCTGAGCCGCTTTCGCATGATGGAAGCGTCGCTGATGGCACCATGTTGCTGCTGCATCGAGTTGCCCGCCCGGCCACCCACCCGGGCGAACACCGATGCTTCATCTGCCCGTGTCCCTGCTGCAGCCGCAGCGGAGCCCTGTCAGCAGGCGGCGGCGTGTGCGGGTGGCGGCCAGCAGCGGTGGAGAGGTGAGCAGGAGTCACAACGGCGGGAGTTACAAACGCGCACAACCTGCAAGTTGTTGAATTGCACCATCTGCCGTGAAATTCCAAACACAGCAAAGACATGTGCAGTCGTGCGAGCTGTACGGGGTGCGTGCGTGCAGTCTCGTCTGCAGGGGCCCAGGCGCTGATAAGGCGGGACCAGTGCTGGGTGCTGGTGTTGGCCTGATGCGACTGAAAGCAAAACGGCCACAGCAGGCCCTCGTAGATCAGGCCAGCCCGAGCCGCTGCACAGCAGCGACAAGCCCGCAGCCCCTGCAAATCCAGGCTGCCGTGTTGGCAGGCCCCACCACCCTTTGTGCACAGCAAACCCATCGGAACTCGCGCCGCAATCCCGACGCAGAATGGCAGCCAACGGCGCGTGGTGGTCACCGGGATGGGCGTGGTGTCACCCCTGGGCCACGAGGTGCGTACCGCAGGGCATCGGGCGTCAATCCGGGCGCCATGACGGACGGGCGGCGCGCCTCGCGGTCGATCACCATCGAGGGGGCGGCGTTGAAAACTGGCCCCACACGGCAACCCTGACAGCTCATCAGATGGGGCATACGCACACACACGCACGCTCTCATTAACAACAATAGAACGTGCACGCACACGCGAGCGACTGACCGCACACGCCCGTGCACGCTCACACCACCTTGTGCACCTCAGCACGACGAGCTGTACACAAACTTGCTCGCCGGCAAGAGCGGCGTGACGGAGATCGGAGGCTTCGACGCCAGCGACTTCAGTACACGGTTTGCAGGGGAGATCAGGAGCCTGGAGACCGAGGGGTTCATCCAGAAGAAGATGGAGAGGCGACTGGACAAGTGCATCAAGTGGGTGCGGGGCGGCGCGGCCGGCGGGCCGGGCGCGGCTCGGCCCGCGGGCGTGGTTGGCGGGCGGTGGCGCCGCGCAGAAGCAGCGGCAGCAGTTGGAGCAGCGGGGCGCGCAGGGGCCCATGACGGGACCCGCAATGGCAGCCGCGCGCCTGGGTGCCCCGGTTGTTGCTGCACAGGGTCACTGTTTTTGCCGGGTCTGAGGTTTGTTTATCGCGTCAACTTTCCATTTTTGCTGGGTTGTGTACGATGCAGGTTTGTGATGGTGGCCGGCAAGAAGGCGCTGCAGGATGCGTCTCTGCCGTTTGAGGGCAAGGAGCTGGGGGACCTCAACAGGGCCAGGTGGGGGG